AAGGTAATTCTATTGCTCCAGATGAAGTAACTAGTCCACTTCTTCCCTCAGTTGCCTCTTGAGATGGGTCTCTGAAGAGAGACAGGGGAAGGGCTGGGGGAGAGACAAGGCCTGAAATGGCAAGGAATATTCTTTGATAAGTCTCCAATACCCATTGATTGAAAGTAATCCTGGCCCATGCTGAAAAAAAATGGTAAAGACAGGAAGGAAAAACAGTGTATGGGGGATGGGGGGGTGGGGAAGAGAAGGAAACTCAGGTGGATTGGTACAATGCTCTCAACTTGCACATCAAACCTACTGCATGGAAGATGATGCAGGGTGGGTGGTAAAAAAAGGAGGGGGCTCTCGAGTGGGTGAATCAAGACTTACTTTCACAAGTGTAGTCAGCAGGTCTCTATTGCTGATGGGGCGGGGGGGGGGGGTAAGAGTATATATATCCAGGGATCTCAGTGTAGATCTAGAGTCCTTCAGAGTACAAAACAATTCATCTGTGCAGAAGCTAAAACAGATCTGGTCCTTCAAAGAAGAGATCTTTTACAGTGGTTTGTATTTCTCTGGGAATCTCAGAACTGCAGCCAGGCTGTCTTCTTCCTGGTGATGGCTGTGGCCATGAAATAGGCTGTATCAGAGGTGTCCAGGACTGCCTGGAATGAAGTATTGGCTATTAGTTCTCCCTCCAAAATAATGGATCTCCAGTCAGCCCTCTCTTCCTTGTGGGAATCTGTCAATAAATGGTGATACTCTGCCCCAGAGTACCAGTACAGAGAAGTGTTGGTTTTGATGAGGCATCTTTGCCAGTGCTAGACTTCAGCATCAGAATAGACTTCAAAGTCAGGTAAGACAAATAATCAACACTATTAGGCTGCACAGGGGGGTCAGGCCTCTAAGCTCATGGTTTAAAACAGAAAGCCCATGATTCTTAACTTCTTTGCTCTTTATCATTCTGGGTAAGAAGATCAGCACTGAGAGTCATCCTTGAAGAGGAGCTCAGATCTGCCTCAACATGGTGGAAGTAACATCACGCTTTAGTGATGGCTCCCAACCAATGCTGAGTTCACTCTGGAAGACAGAGGACAGCTGACCGAAGGGGTAGCAGACCCTCTCTCAATACTGTTGGTGAGAGCCTTTAAGGTAGAGTCCCTTCTTAAAGGGATGCTGAAGGAATGGGATCTCTGGGAAATGTCCTCCTTTTTGGAGTCCGATTATCTTTCCAACTCAGCTGATACCTTCATGGACTACTCCACAAGGTAGAGCTTTAGCTTGATATCACTGGAGCAATGAGTTCTGCTAGAGAAAGACAAGCATATGGGTCAATGGTCCAGAACATGGCTCTCATCTAAAGAGAGGACACACCAACAGCATCATCAGGTAAAATAATACATCCATCACATGTGGGGCATGGCTTGAAGCTGAATGATTTGGTCTCAGCCATTACACAGGAAGGCACTTTCATGCCAAGTAGAAGAAAAGAAATTTTAAAGAACAGAAACAAACAATGGGCTGCCAATCGGCTAGAATTTTGTCACTAAACTCGCTAACCTAGTATTTACAAATTGTAAGGGTGCTACATGGTAGTAGATAGACATTGCAGAGTTGTCTTGCTGCCACAGGTGGCAATAACAAACAGAGAAGCAGTCATGGCTGCTCTGCCATCTAGGCCTGTGGTTGGTGAAGACTAGCAAGGTGCAGACATGGCCCTAATGGACATTTCCAACTCAAGTGCCTGAGACATACACACAAGTGGGATCTACAGAAAAAAAAAAAAGATTCCAGGAAAATGTAACTTCCTTTCCTTTCCCCAGGCTTATAGGAAATTATTTTCAGTGGAAACACCCACACCCAAAGAGTATGAAAAGGAAAAGCAGACTGCCATTAATATGAAGTGCAAAAGAACTGTAATTTAAGGTTGTTAGCAGGCCTCGTCATCATCAATCATCATCATCCAGATTGAACATATAGATTTTGTGAATTTGGCACTCAGATATCACATTCAAAGGCCTGGACACCAAAGTCCTCAGAACCAGTATTGCACTGCGAGTAGCAGTCTCTGCTAACCCACCAATGTTTCCAATTGTGCTTTAGAGAGACCATAACTAGTGGTAAAAGCAATGAAGTGGCTTCTCTGCTGTGACATGGTTTCCATGGCAGCTGTGATTCAGATTTTTACAATACAGACACCAATCCACAGGAAATGGAAAGCAACAACCAAGTCATTGCACACATTCAACAAAAGGCTTTTCACTACTGCCCTGGAGAGATTTACTCTGATGATTTCTCTATGTAATTTTGCCCCTCATAATATTGCAGTATCATTGTATTTGGTGTATGCTAAAATCAGTATGGCTTTGTTCCCTGCTAACTATCATTGTACACTAGTTAGAGGTGATTTTTTTTAAATTGAGAGATATAAGGAATCCATCATGAGGTCAAATAACGACAAATAACTACAAAAATACAATGAATACTAATATAAATATTAGGGCTGTCAAGCGATTAAAAAAATGAATTGCACTGTTAAAAAATAATAGAATACATTTATTTAAATATTTTTGGATGTTTTCTACATTTTTCAAATATTCTGATTTCAATTACAACACAGAATACAAAATGTTTATATTTATTTATATAAATATACTTAATATTTATTTTTGATTACAAGTATTTGCTCTGTAAAAACACAAAAGAAATAGTATTTTTCAATTCACCTAATACAAGCACTGTAGTGCAATCTCTTTATCATGAAAATGCAACTTACAAATGTAGAATTGTGTACAAAAAAACTGACATTCAAAAATAAAACAGTGTAAAATTTTAGAGCCTGCAAATCCACTCAGTCCTACTTCTTGTTCAACCAATCGCTCAGGCAAAGAAGTTTGTTTACATTTGCAGGAGATAATGCTACCCGCTTCTTGTTTACGTCACCTGAAAGTGAGAACAGGCATTCTCATGGCACTGTTGTAAGCTGGCGTCACACAATATTCATATGCCAGATGAGCTGAAAATTCACATGTCCTTCATGCTTCAACCACCATTCCAGAAGACATGCATCCATGCATATAATGGGTTCTGCTCGATAACAATCCACAGCAGCACAGACCAACGCATGTTCATTTCCATTATCTGAGTCAGATGCCACCAGCAGGAAGTTGATTTTCTTTTCTGGTGGTTCGGGTGCTGTAGTTTCCACATCAGAGTGTTTCTCTTTTAAGACTTCTGAAAGCAAGCACCACACACCGTCCCTCTCAGATTTTGGAAGGCACTTCAGATTTTTAAACCTTGGGTCGAGTGCTGTACCTACCTTTAGAAATCTCATATTGGTACCTTCTTTGTGTTTTGTGAAATCTGCAGTGAGAGTGTTCTTAAAATGAACAACATGTGCTGGGTCATCATCCGAAACTACTATAACAGGAAATATATGGCAGAATGCAGGTAAAACAGAGCAGGGGATATATAATTCTCCCCCAGGGCGTTCAGTCAGAAATTTAATTAATGCATTATTTTTTTAATGAGCGTCATCAGCATGGAAGTATGTCCTCTGGAATGGAGGCCAAAGCATGAAGGGGTATCCGAATATTTAGCATATCTGGCACGGAAATACCTAGCAATGCTGGCTACAAAAGTGCCATGCAAATACCTGTTCTCACTTTCTGGTGACACTGTAAATAAGAAGAGGCAGCATTATCTCCCTTAAATGTAAACAAACTTGTTTGTCTTAGGGATTGGCTGAACAAGTAATAGGACTGAGTGGACTTGTATGCTCTAAAGTTTTACATTGTTTTGTTTTTGAGTGCAGTCGTAACAACAACAACAAAATCTATATTTTAAGTTGCACTTTCATGATAAAGAGATTGCACTACAGTGCTTGTATGAAGTGAATTGAAAAATACTATTTCTTTTGTTTTATCATTTTTACAGTGCAAATATTTGCAAGCAAAAATATACAATTTGATTTCAATTACAACACAGAATACCATATATATGAAAATGTAGAAAAACATTCAAAATATTTAATAAATTTCAATTGGTATTCTATTATTTAACAGTGCAATTAAAACTGCCATTAATTTTTTTGAGTTAATCGCATGAGTTAACTGTGATTAATCGACAGCCCTAATAAATATAGATACTGAGTCACAAATAACTCCAGTTGCTTCCTATGGGCCTGATCCCCAACTGACCATCTACACTGGGAGTCATATGTGCTCAGCACCACTCAGTCCCAAAGTGGGCATAAATGCCACATCTATTTGATACAAATAAATCAATGGCTCTCATTTGGCATGTCCAAGCACACATGGTGGTGCCATCAGACCCACCACTGGCAATCTATAGGGGTATATTAAGTCTCTCAAAAAATAATATTGCATTGGTGTCAAAGGTTTCATATTCTTATTGGCTAACCTATGCATTGCTAATTAAACCGTTAAAACCCTAGAAAAGTGTGAGAATAAAAGCAGTCAAGAGAAGGTAATTTATTTGACCTGATATGGTGTGTACACACAAATGATAAAATAGACTGGGCAGAATCAAATTACTGCAGTCCAGACAGCTCCTTTCATGGAATGAGGGGAGATGGGGTTCAGGGACCTCAGAGTCTGAACCCCTATACTGCTACTAAAGCTAAAAGCAAATGTACTCAATACTTCCATGCTTCAATAGAGTTGTGAGCACTTATACAAGCATTGAGCATAGTGCTCAGCCCCTGCACATTAAAAGGTATCTTCCCTCCCGCCTCACACCTTTTCACATGCTTTTTAGCTTAGCTCATTTCATCCTGATTTTGTATCTAATATTAAGTATTTGTGTTTGGCTTTGGGAAGGTCAGCTGTGATTAATTTCCCTTAACTGAATTGCATTCTGCACTTAAAAAAAAAAAAGTAAACCTGTGCTAAGTAACAGGTAAAACACAATCATCTCAACCTCATGGAATATATCTCATCCTGTGTTAAGGGAACAAGTGAGGAGAATAGGTACTCACCATAGTCTGTAAATTTAGAAAATATGCAAAGATAGAACAAAAGCAATTTTAGTTTGAGTTATAGAAACACTATTAACAATGGACAATAATAATACCATGGAGATGAGCTTGAAGGCTGGGAGTTTCAAGAACCTATGGGACTTAGGTATTGAATTCCCATTGAATTTGAATGGGAATTGGATGCCTAGCTTCCTTCAATCTCTTTCAAAATCCCAGCATAAATCCCAAGAGAACACAGTCTACATGGAGTTGAGAATACTGGTGGAAATATTATAGGTATCAACTTTTTAATCAAAGCAGTCATCTCTACCTTCCTGGAATTATACAAATGTCTTAATCTTAACCATTCAATTTCCCATATGATTATACCTTTGGTTATACTGCCCTCAAGTGGCAAAAAAGAAGTCCCTTCATTGAATATAGTTTATTGTATTGAATAATTTATCTATCAGCTGCTTAACACATTTCCTGTGTATTTTTTCCTCAGTGTGGAAGCAAGCCTGTCCACTGCTCTCCTGCTGCAGTTCCTGGCAGAAGAGTACATGCTAGTCTGAAAAGTACAGTGCATGATTCCTACCTGAAGATCTTGTTGATGGAATATGAATGGCACTATGCTTCCAAAAGCTACGAAAAGTCCAGAGCACTGCAGCTACCTGTTTTTATGAGTCAGGTAAGGAGGTAAGAGTAAAGACTGGATAAACTCTGTGACTACAAGAATCAGGGTGAGCTTGTAGTTAAGGAAAAAGGGATCTATACAACATAGCCTGTCTCACTGAGTCTCATGTTGAACACACACCCCCAAGAGCCAACTATGGATTACATAGGGCTTCAGTGACAACCCTATCCTAACAAAGAACCAGAGAGTATAAATAGCACACTAGACCCTCTGTCACTGGAGGACACACAGTAAGGAGATGCAGAAGGAATCTATCTTTGAGGACTGAGACATGCAAGAGTGTTAATTTGGAAAATGAAGGGGAAATTAAGAACTGACTGGAATAGGCAATAAAACTATTATTAGTCACATTTCCTAAAACGATGTATAACTAGACATTCTGACATATGTAAGAGCACCACTATATCCACTAATAGGAAAAATGTAACCTGAAACTTTGTTCACAAAAGTAACAAAAAACATCACCCTATTGCTAATAAACCAACCAATTGGAAAAAGGTCCCATACTTTCCTGAAACAAATGATAATAATTAGGGCTGTAGGGCTCACTCAAAACAAGTAATTTTTAGTCACTGGAAGAAAATGGGAGTTGGGCTGACAGTCACCACATGTCACATAACCCAATTTTCTTGCAAGATACTAAGGACAAGGTATAGATAGCAGCCAGTTTACTGATTCTTCTGCCAGACTGGTAAAAAGGCAGCTATGGATCAACATGCTTTGGCTTCATATTTTGGAAATATTTGTTTTTTAAATATCAAACTATTTTTTTCAGTCACTGAGAGGACATAGTACCATTTACACACTTTTCTGACAGAAATTCTGGCTTGTAAATGAAGTCCCTGTGGAAAATGTGGAAAGGGTCACAGCTATACTGCTAATTTCAGTTCAGATTTACAATACTGTCATAGAATCATTGTACAGAAGTGGCATCTCACACTCCAAGGGCCAAGCAATGACCTCAACATGCACTCACAACTGCTACCGATTTCAATGGTAGTTGAATACATATTTTAGAACAGGACTCAGAAACTTTTGTTTTACACAAGATTAATACTTTTCACTGCACACTATTTCAATCCCCTGAAGGCAGTTCAGTTATGCTGGAGAGCTATGAAACTTCCAGCTCCATTGCCTCAGCTGCAAACAAGAAATAAAAGAAACCATTTACATGTATTAGATAGCACTAAACAAATGTATTGATTAGGAAATATTTGGTAGGAGAATAAAAACAAAAGGTGAGGACCTTCCTCCTAGTGAGGAGTTTACCTTTTCATTACACATGATGCCATTTCTTCTGAAAAGAAACATTTGAAATATTTGGTCAACTAAGCAACCACCACCACTGACCAGTGAACAGGCTTACAAATGTTATAAGACTTGTTGTGCTATAGGAACCTTCAGAGTGATGCTCCCATTCTATCCCAAATCATAAAATGTGAATGGCATTCAGAAAAAATGTACTTAATTTCAATGTGTGATTTAGTATCATTACCATTTCTCCACCTCTTCATAGAAGTTATGAAAAAAAGTTCTACAATGAATCCACCACGCATTTCCTCATTTGGCATCATATATGCAGGCTTTAGTTAACTGACCAATGTACCTATTACATTACAACCTTACATTCTAGAGTTTACTATTTAACTTATACATGATTATTTTACTGTTTTGATTAAAAAGTGCTAACTCATGAAAGCATCATCTTGATTACACACCTCAGAATATTCATCAGCCAAGTTTATTTTTCCCTCCATTCAAGTCATTTTATAAGTACTGTTGTGGAATTTAAATGAGAAGCTGCAAGCCTCCATCTACAACTAGAATATGCCCTGTAATATAGGGAGACTCCAGAAGAAAGACAACAGCTTGTGCAACTTCATCAGGCTCTCCAAATCTTCCAAGAGGAATGGTTTTCTTCAACTGATCTTCTTTCAAATGTGCAGTCATCTCTGTGTGAACAAAGCCTAAGAGAAAAAAAAGTTTGTGACATAAAATGTAAGCAGAATTGATGAGAGTAGCTGTAGAAGTCTGGAAGAAATCCTAGTATGATACAGTGGCTCTGTAAGATCCTTGAGTCCTATCCTTATCCAACGTAAAGTAAGTTTATGAAAAAACGTAACAGTTATTTCACTGAGAATCAATCCAACCTCAGTACAAATACATTTTGTGTGTGTGTGTACACACACACACACACACACACACACTATTACTCCTGAGGGCATTCTGTGCCAAAAAATTAAAAATTCTGCGCACCATATTTTAAAATTTTGCAAGTTTTATTTGTCAATAAATAAATGCAGAGGCTCCAGCATGGCAGTGGGGAGCACATGCCACTGGCTGCACAAAGGTTAGAGATCACCCTGCAGCCCCCCATCACCAACCACCCTTGAGACACGGACTCAGCGGTGAGGCTGCACCCTACTCTGACCCAACACAAGGCCTGGACCTGCCCCAGAAAATCCCTAGAGCTCTGAAAATGGCCAGGCGCACCAAGTGTGGGGCAGACAGGCTCAACCAGGCAGGATCCAAGTGTGGGGTGAGAGGGTTCTGTGTGGGACGATCTCAGTGGGGGGTCTAGATGTGGGGGGATCTGGATTCACAGAGGTTCGTTGGGGGGCTTCCAAGTGAAGATGGTTGGATCTCAGCGGAGGGGTCTGGGTACAGCTAGTTGGGGTCAGGGGCATCAGGGTATGGATGTGGGGACTCAGGGTGGTGCAGGGAGGTGGGGCTCATCAGTATGGGGGTTTGAGTGCAGGGAGCTCAATGTGGGGTGGTCTGGGGGTGAGGGCAGGGGTCTGGAGGCAGGGGGTCTGGGTGCAGGGCGTTGAGGTTCAGTGGGGTGGAGTTCAGATATGGAGGGTTAGGGAGGTTTTGGGTGTATGGGGTGAAGCTTGGCGGGGGTGTCTGGGTATGGGAGAGTCAGATGCACGAGAGTTGGGTACATGGGGGAGCAGCTCCCCATACAGTGATCCCTCACGCGCAACTGAGAAGCTATGGGGGCAGGAAGCAGGGGAGGTTTCTGGCGGTGGGTCTGACACAGCCCCAGCCACTCCTTGCAGGGGAATAAGTCCAGTCCTCTCCTGCCTCCAGCCTAGCCGGACTAGCAGCTGATCCCAGCTCAGGGTAGGAGCCATTGGCTGGGGTGTCCCCAGCCCCACGTTGATTTACCTCTCGGCCGGCTGCTCCAATATACCTGCACTGCTAGGGAGTAGTGCGTGACTGCTCTTGCAGCTTCCCTGTCAGAAAATCATTTTTCTGTGGGGAAGCAAAGAAATTTGTGGGGCATGAATTCTGCACCTGCACAGTGGCGCAGTATTTCCCCAGGAGTAATATATAAGCACACACACACCCTCCTGCAACAGCAATCAACATATATTAGAGTGGTTTGATGTCAATGGAAACCTGTAATAACTTAATCATATCAGGTTTTTCACAATAAAGAGAGATTTCAGAAGCTGATCCTCGAAAACACATTATGTATAGTGAGACACGCTGCCCCATATTCATCATTGTGGTATAATTATGATATAGTTATGACACAATTATGATGCATCTTGTGCAAAATGTGTCATGTGAGGTGTGTATGGAAAGGTTTAATTTGCTGAATATGATTATCCTATTTGTATGCATGTATCATTTTTGTATCTAGAGTTACAAATATTGACTATGTAGTTGTATTTCAAATGTGTTTACTCCTGGGTAACACCCAAAGGTTTGTTTGCATTCAGGCTAGCCAGCACATCATGAATGGCCCATCAGCAAAGACAATGGGCCAGGGAAAACGCTTGTCCTCACCTAGGGACGCTTCAACTAGTCTATGAATAATGGCTGCTATGACTATGCGAGGCATGCAAGAGCATGCAACCAGACCATATAATACTGAACTCAATTTTGGTACCTGTATTTTTCCACAAATTGGGCTGGGAACCTGATTTGGAAAAAAGGGGTTCCTGACGTACAGAGAAACTATGTAAAGGTGGGGAGTGACATCATGACTTGTCTTTACTCCCCCACCACTCAACATCTGAAAGAACCTCCAAAAGACAAAGGACTCGGAATGGGGGAGGAGACCCCAAGCTGCAAAGCAGATGCAACTTGTGCCTCAAGAATTTGCAAGCCTGCTTGTATCATCAGTCAGGGTAAGATTTGCTGATTCAAATCTATCTAGTTTGTATAAGACTTAGATTGCGATTTTGTTTGATTTCCTAGGTAACCTGCTTTGATCTAAAAAAAGAACAGGAGTACTTGTGGCACCTTAGAGACTAACAAATTTATTAGAGCATAAGCTTTCGTGGGCTACAACCCACTTCTTCGGATGCATATTGAGTGAAACATATCGAGGAGATATATATACACACACATACAGAGAGCATGAACAGGTGGGAGTTGTCTTACCAACTCTGAGAGGCCAATTAAGTAAGAGAAAAAAAACTTTTGAAGTGATAATCAAGGTAACCAAGTACAGACAGTTTGATAAGAAGCAAGTGTGAGAATACTTACAAGGGGAGATAGATTCAATGTTTGTAATGGCTCAGCCATTCCCAATCCCTGTTTAGCCCTGAGTTGATTGTCTGTTTGCTATCACTTAAAATCTATCTTTCTGTAGTTAATAAACTTGTTTTAGGTTTTATTTTAACCAGTGTGTTTTTAAGTGAACTGTCAGTGAATCTTGGCTCTGTTAGCAAGGGCTGTTGCATATCTTCCCCACATTGAGGGGGAAGCGGACTAATTTAATGAGCTTGCACTGTACAGAGAGGTACAGGGATACATGGGGATGGTGGAGGGGGTGGCTGAGTGGGGGCACAGAGACATAAGAACAGGGGGAGGGGGCACAGGGCAGTGTTCCCTCTAATTTTTCCCACCCATGTGCGGAATGAACTTTGTTATGTGCACCAATACAGAGGTGATGTGTCACACATCACCTCCATATTGGTACACCTAACAAAATTAATGCTGAAGGGTGGGCTGAGGAGTTTGGAGTGTGGGAAGGGGCTCAGAGCTTGGGTGTAGGGGGGTGAGGGCTCCAGCTGGGATTGCGTGCTCTGGGGTGGTGCTGAGGGGACTGGGGTGCAGTGGGGCTCCCCGGGGTCACGGTGGGGAGAGAGAGGACTCCCCCACCAGCTCTTTCCCCTCCAAAGCAGCAGCTGGGCTGGGGGCGAGAGGTGTCGCTCCCCTGACCATGGCAGGTCCAGGGTTGGGCTGGGTCAGGCCCAAGCTGGGTCGGGCTGGGGGAGGGGTGCTGCAGCAGGTCCAGGGCTTGGGGAGAGGTAGCTCTGGGATGGGTGGGGAGGGGAGGATGTCTGATTAGGGGTAGATGGACATGTGGACAGAGGATGTAAGGACACATGAGGATGGGGCAGATGTGCCTGACTGAATGGGAGAGGCTAGGGGTCAGCCAGGGTCTGCATGTGGGGGAAACTCCCTAACAATCCCTCCCCAAAAAAACCTGGTGGGAAAAAATGGAACAATACCCAACTACTGTGAGGGGGGAATGTCAGGGGGAGAACAAGAGCAATGGAAGCATGTGACCGTGAGAAGCAGGCCAAGGAAAAGGAGGGCTAGTGAGGGGGAAATAGAACTCAGGAACAGGTTTGGGTGTTTGGATAACGAGGAGGGGAGGCAGCAGGTGGTAACTAATGGTGGGAGGCAGAGGAAGAAGAGAAGAGCAGCTAGTCCAATAGAGAGAGGGGAGGAGTTGATGGAGACAGCATCAATACTGAGCCCCAGGAGGATACAGGATGGCACTAGGGGGACTATAAGGGAAAATAGAAACAGACAGGAGTTACGACTACAGGGAACAGGGGATAGATTAGTAGATCGCACTGTCACCAGGCAAAGGCAGGTTTATGTGATTGGGGACTCCTTACTGAGGAGGTTAGACAGGCCTGTGACCAGGGCGGACCCAGAGAACAGAAGGGTGTGCTGTCTGCCGGGCGCTAAGATACTGGATGTGGACCTGCGGTTGAAAAGGATCCTAAAAGGAGCGGGTAAGAACCCCTTGATCATCCTTCACGTAGGAACGAATGACACGGCTAGGTTCTCGCTAAAGAGAATCAAGGGAGATTATGCCAGACTGGGGAAGACACTTAAGGAAGTCGAGGCTCAGATTATCTTCAGTGGGATTCTGCCTGTTCCTAGAGAAGGACAGCAAAGGGCTGACAGAATTGTGAGGATAAATAGCTGGCTAAGGGAGTGGTGCTATAAGGAGGGCTTTGGGATGTATGGCCACTGGGAGACTTTCGGGGACAGACAGCTGTTCTCACGGGATGGACTTCACCTGAGTAGGGAAGGAAATAGACTTCTGGGAGGGAGGCTGGCTCATCTCATCAAAAAGGCTTTAAACTAGGAATTTGGGGGAGACGGTTGGGAGATATCCAGTTAATCTCCACGCCAGATTCCAACACTGAAAAGGAGTGTGAGGAGATAAGCACAGATATAGGTAGGGGTAAGGGATTGGACATAAGAAGGAGGGGGCGGATGGACAGTACGGGGTCCGTACCAAATTGCATAACTAATGGGAGAAAGGATAAACAGCATACAGTAAGATGTTTATACACCAATGCAAGAAGCCTAGGTAACAAAATGGAGGAATTGGAGCTCCTGGTCCAAGAAATAAAACCGGATATCGTAGGTATAACCGAAACGTGGTGGAACGGTAGTCATGACTGGAGTACAGGTATGGAAAGGTATGTGCTGTTTAGGAATGACCGGAACAAAGGTAAAGGTGGGGGAGTGGCATTGTATGTCAATAATGAGGTAAACTGTAAAGAAATAATAACTGATGGAATGGATAAGACGGAATCTGTCTGGGCAATAATTACACTGGGTAAAAGAACTACTAGAGCCTCCCCTCGGATAGTGCTTGGGGTGTGCTATAGACCGCCGGGATCTAGCCTGGATGCGGACAGAGATCTATTTAATGTTTTTAGGGAAGTAAAAACTAATCAGAACTGTGTAATTATGG